AAAATTTAATTTACACCATCTCAATTAGTTGTCCGGAGCTAGTCATGGACTCCGGCCGGGCTGGTTCCGGGTCAGGCTCGGCCGGGCTTTTTTTTTAAAGGAAAAACCGCAACCAGCCCGGGTAGGCACCGGTTCCAGGCCGCCGGCCGGGCCGGTTCATGTTATTTTTTTTTAAATTTCTTTTGCTTTTCTAATTAACTCCCGACCCCCATTCACCCCCCACCCCCCAAACCCCCAAAAACACCCAGACCAATCCCGGAGAAACCAAAAAAGTTGAGAAAAAAAATAGACCTGGCTGATTCCACTTTTAAGAGGCCCAAGCCTGGCCCAATTAATTCCGGGATCGGGTGGCCCGGACCGATTCTATAACTGGGTACCGGGCTGGGCCCAAATAGTACCGGTTCCGGGCCGGGCAGCCCGACCCGAGTCTATGACTGTCCGGAGCCCTAAAGGATGGGATGTAGCAAGTATGTAATATTGGAATAGATGAACTCATGAAGTACTACTCTTGTACTCAAGGAATTATTACTTGTAGTGTTCGTGTATTTAATAAAAATCATTTTACCATTTCATATCTAAAAAAAAATTATTGAATCTTCTCGATCTAGCTATGCATGAAACATTTGAATTGGAATGTGCTGATCTTGCGCTAATGAATCATTTGGTTGGATACATAAATTGGCCGAGATTATTAATTTAACTATATTTTCAAAACAATTTTTATTGTTCTATGTTTCTTTTTAGTTGCCACTTGAGAAATATTGCATTATTCACATACTCTATACTCTATTTTGAGTACACTTTCTTTCTTAATGTGTGGGATTTAATTCTCTTGAAAAATATTTTTTATTGCTTCTCATTACAAATTTTATAATCTAATTTTTATATATATTTAATAAATAGAGAATTAAATATATTAATTGTTAAAGTTGTACAATGTCAAATGTAAAAATTAGAATATTCAACAATAAAAAACTAAAAGAATATTAATTAAATTAGAGAAAAGTTATAGGGAGTATAAATAAATGTTATCTTGTTTTGTTTTCGAATAGATGTAAGTATGTAACCAAACAGGATCAAATGTCTGCCCATGCATGTAACGGGATAATGTTAGACGAATGGACATCAAGTAATCGGAAACTTTATTGAATTGTTGGCTTCAATAATTTGTGTTTGTTGATTGGTAAGTTAGGATGATAATGATTGCATCACATTAAATATTGCATTATTTGGAACAAAAATATGCACCATTCTATGAAGCACGGATACTTCGCTAGGGTAGCGTATCAGCGTATCCGATACGTTCCCGTATCCGATACTCTAGGATACCCGTACCGTACGTTCCCGGGCCGTATCTGCAATTTTTAAAAGTTTCCATTTTTATTTTGTAATTTTTTGAAAGTTTCCGATACCCGTATCCTGACGGATACCCGTATCAACTTTTTTTTTTTTTTAAAATCCCAAAATTTACTTAATAAAATTCTAAACAAAAATGAAAATCTAAAACTACATTTTACTTGGTAATCAAATAATGGGCCTATATGGCTATATCCGAATTAAGTCATTAACTCATACTCCGAATTGGATACTTGCACTTTTAATTTCAAGATTGTAGTTGTTTGACTTATTTCTCATTTTAAATTAATGACTTATTGACTATATTTATATTTCGAGATGACTAGTGTATATGAGAAATATTATGAATTTATTACCAAGTATCTTGAAAAAGGAAAATGTTTCAATACAATGAATGGGTAGACATCATAGGATATTATATGTGTGTGTGTGTGTGTGTGTGTGTGTGTATATAGACCCCCTATAACTTTTAATATTTGTAAATACACCCCCATAACTTTTAATATTTATAAATATTATATATATATATATATATATATATATATATATATTTTCAAAAAAAATCTATTTTTAATATTTATAAATAGACCCCTATAACTTTTAATATTTGTAAATACACCCTCATAACTTTTAATATTTATAAATATGGCCCCGTATCCGTATCCTACTTTTTTTGGTTTTGACGTATCCCCGTACCCGTTTCCGCGTTTCTGCGTTTCCGCGTACCGGTATCGGTGCTACATAGGCACCATTATAAAATAAAAATATGTATGAAATTAAGGATGTTTTTAATTTCAGACCCAGACTAGACTAGATTAGACCAGACCAGACTAGTTCAGGTCAGATCAAACCAGACCAGGTAAGATCAAATCAGACCAGACAAGCAAATTCTAGTCTAAGTAAAAACATTCTAATTTCTGATGGCATCATTCTTACTTTCAGGGTTTTTACAAGATTATTACTAAAATAAAACTTATTTACATAAATATGACTATTCATTATTACAACCTAGTATTATGGTAAATTAAGTTCAAAACTTGAACATGAATTATTATAATTTCATTACTATTCTAGTAACTAATCATATTTTTGTAAAACATTTTTAATTTGATCGTAATTATTTCTTACTTTCATCGTAAAATGAGAACTATTTCATTCAAACTTAGAAGGAAAATGGTGATATGCATTGATATAGAAAAGGAAAGATTCCTTGTGTACACGTTCTTAAACTGACATTCACTGGCAAAACCCGGCTTGTTTTGTCTTTAGAATTTTCCACAGACAAAACAAGCCGGTTTTGTCTGTGAACTGACATTCATAGACAAAAAACTTCTCACAGACAGTGAGGTGTACTGGTATGTATAAGAACATGTACACCAAGAATTTCCCTTTGAAAAATACTTACAAATAGAGTACTCCCTCCGTCCCGAAATTTACTGCCGTAGTACAAATGGCACACGGATTAAGAAAATGAGAATTATGTGGCGGAGAGTTGTGCAGAGGAAAGAAAAATGTGTAGGAATGTGTAAAAATTCTTTACCAAAAAGGGAAAGTAAAATTCTTTTTGGGACTGACAAAAATGAAAATTTGAAAGTAAATTTAGGGATGGAAGGAGTAATTATTTTCCCTTATCAACCCACTACACATGAAACAGATGAGATAAAGTAACTATTTGGTTTGCCCCCTACACAGGTGAAATACTTACATTAGTACGGAAATAAAAAGCGCTTCTTACATATAGTGAATGCCAATGGAAATAAAAAGATACTACCTCCCTCCCGCTTAACCGTTTAAATGTTGACATTAAATAAGTTCATTCGAATATATTTTGAAAAATAATTTTGATGGGTATATAATATAATGAGTTATTCATAATAACTGTAATGTTATAAATGTATTATTTTTAATATTTGATGATTGTTTCATAAAATGATGTGTTATTTAAGAGTGTTAAATGTTTCATAAAATAGAAAGTGTAGGTGGGACATCCAAAAAAAGAAAGTGTAAACCTGTAAATGGACGGAGGGAGTAATACAATTTCTAAATGAGATAGGAGTCTGTTTGGTAACACTGAAATTGGTTGAACTGGCTGATTCTGCCGAAATTTATTAAGTTCTGACTGAAGAGGCTGGTGAGTTGATTCTGCTTATTTATGAAAAAATTATATTTAAAATATTTTTTTATTAATAAACCGAAGAAACAATTATATAAAAAATAGCTAAAATAATCTTCTATAGTAACTTCCTTCAGTCAATACAGTCATAAAAATAGCCCATACCTTAGTTTTTCTTATTATTATACAATTATTATAAGGGCTCTTTGAATACAATAAACAAATGAAGTAAAGTATAAAGAAAGAATGGCATGAATATTACTCCTCAAGTTTCATTGGAAAAATATAAGACTCTTTTAAAGATAGACACAATAGTGACCCAGACTCTTCCGTGCTTTAAATAATTCGACTTCCTGCTTCCGTCCTCATCGAACCACCACCGTCTAAGCTCAGCCAACGTATCCTTCGGGCTGGTCTTCTCTCCTCCGTCCTCGTCGTTGAAGCACCAACGCCCAAGTCCGCCGCCCGCATCCTTTCTTCTTCGCAGCTCATCTCTACCAATCTGCCATCATTGGTGACTTACTTCATTGTTCTCCTGCTCTACATCACCGATACTTGATGGAATCAACAAAGACATCGTTGATAATTGATGTTAGGGTATTGAATTGCAAACACGAACTGAAATTTTTATTCTCGATCTCCCAATTTCTGCATCTACCGTGACATCTCCGTTCCCCTCACTATTAGCGTCGATGGAGTAAGATTAGCACGCCGCATTTCTGCTGCAGAGTTTCCACGCTGGAGGAAGAGGCACCGCCGAAGTAAGATTAGCGTCACCGGACTGATTTTCTCGCCGGAGATGAAATTAAAGTTGTGGTGTTGGGGGTTTGACCTTCGGATCTGCTATCAGACTGCAGCAAGACTTCCCACGTTTTCCAATGGGGGGAGGAAGCCACCAAGTGCTGGGTGAGGCAGGGGGGTTAGGGTGACGTAGGGGAGGGATGTAGAGAGCGAGCTGGGTGAGATAGGGGCTGGGGGAGGCAGGGGAGGGGTATGGTGGGGCAGGGGCTTGGGCATGGTGGCTGCCAGCGTTGGGGATGGTGCAAGCTGGGGCGTGGGGCCGGTGAGGTTAGGCGGTTATCACTGGATGAAGCGGTATGTCGGCGTAATTGGGCGGCAGTGTGGCCTGTGGAATAGCTATAGTGACACTAGCGGACGCTACAGTGACACGGGCGGTGGCCGCAGTGACACGGACAGTGGCCGCAGTGACACGGCCGGTGGCCACAGTGACACGGGCGGTGGCCACAGTGACACGGGCGGTGGTTACAGTGACACGGGCGGAAGCGGCAGTGACATGTGCGATGGTGACAGTGACATTTGATAGTGACATTAAAACAGGATAGTGACATTAAAATCTAAGAATGACATTAATATGACTTTCTTGATCACTTTTTTGCCCCTTTTCAAAAGTGCTCACTTTTTTGATAATTGGTTCAAAATTAGTAATATTCAAATAAAATCCCAAGTATAAAAAACGCAGCTTAGCTGCTTAAAAAACAAAAAGAAAAAAAGCGAAGCAAATACTACGTAAGATGGATAATAGTAAGAGAGGAGGAAAAGTTGGAAAAGTACCAGCACCACAGGGCTGCGGGGCCAAGCAAAGGAAAAAAACAAAAACAAAAAAGGACAAACACGAAAAAAGAGGGGAGCGGATCAATTAATAGAACGGAGTAGCAGCACGCCAGCACTGACATGCAGCAAGAAGAGAAACGAGGAGAAAGAAAACAATCAGTTCGTCAGCTATCATCTCTCAATCATAACTTGAGGTTTTGGGTTAAGTTTCTTCCTCACGTTTGAATAAGTTTTAAAATTTGTTCTTTGATTATTTATAGTTTCAGATGACTCTTAAGTTTGTGGTTGAACTATTATTATTTCGAATCTCTATTTAAATTATCTCCATGTATTACTTTAAGAGTTTAGCTCCTCCCTTAGTTGTGTTAATTTATAATTATGCTAGGCTAAATTTCTAGGGGGTTTGGAGTTGGTAAAATTAAAGTTAACGATTGCTCTTTGGATATCGAATTGAACTCAATGAGTAATTTGTGAAATTGACCACTTCATCATTTTTGTTTGAGGAAGTGCTGGTTGGGAATAACAGCATCGTACTAATATGAAAGAAAAACACTTCTATTACTTCCAAGAATAGAAAGAAGAGACATACAAGCTCTAACTAAAAACTCTCAAAACAACACCTCACATATCTCTCAAGGATATTCACAACTCAAACTTGGTTGTGCTATGATGATCTAATCTAATTTACTTGATGATAGAAAGATTCTCCAAGCTCTCTATTTATAGCACCAAAACTAGGTACTAGGAAGGTGGAAGGAAAGTGTGTTGAAGCTAGGAGGAAGGTGTGAGGAAGGTGGTTCTTTGGTGTGAAGAAACTTCCCTTGTCATTCTTGCACATGGAGGAAGTTACATGAAAACTAGAAATTGGATTCTTCAATTGGCTTGTACTTGGATATGTCCTGGAAATTGAATTCTTCAGTGCTCCAGCTCACTCGTCGCCGATTCACACTTCCATAAGGGAGGTCTTGTGTTCAAAACTCTAGCCTCCTTCGATCCTTCCGACCCCAATGTAAAAAAAGAATTGATCACTTCACTTGTTAATTTTTGAAAAGTATTATTTCTTTATTGTATTTGAGTTTGGAATTAATTTAACACACATCTTACACACTCTAAATTAAGCCTATAAATTGAACAAGTTAGGAAATTAAGATTATTTTATTGTCTGAGATTTATCATTTACTATCCTTAAATTGGCAAAAATTTCCGATATTTATTTATAATCAAAGATACCCAAGATCCACAATGATAAATCCGAACACTACTTTTAATTAGTTAATTTATTTATGAGTTGTTTGGTTTGTATCAATTGACACAAGCTGTGATTGTTGTGTTGTATGTAAAATATGAGTAGGACCTTTGCCTTGTACAATCAAAGTAATTACTCAGGCTCAATTCACTTCAAGTTAAAGAATTGTTGCTTCTGTTTGATTGCTTTTTTGGGGCATACCAAAAATATTTTATATGTGATGCAATGGAGGATATTGTTTTGAAAGGTTAGTTTAAGCCTAGAATATTCTATCAAAAGAATCCCAAGATGAGCTGCAAAATAGAGCACTACGAATTAGGAGAGCCGACATCAGGCCTAGCTTGACACTTGACAACATTTCTCATAAATCTTGGGCATTCTACTGCAGACCTTTTGATGATTAGTTTTTGAGACTAAAACCATGGCTTAACTCATCTGAATCATTTGTTTATAAATGGAAAGTTTGGCTTCAAAATTGACAATTACGACCAATTTATTCTTCTAAAGGGAAAACTGTCAAATAGGTCCTCGAACTTTCATAAAAAGGTCAATTAAGTCCTTCTATACGAGGTTCTATCCGGCCGTCGCGAATTGGGGCAGTTCCCAGTGAAATTTTTTGATGATTTTTTTAGCATCTTATTTACCAAGTCTAGTTTACTTATACCAAATTTCAGCTAAAAATTCAATCGGGAACACATTCAAATTAATTCTTGAAGATAACTGCTCATTTTTCCGTTCTCGAATTAATTTGAATGTGTTCCCGATTGAATTTTTAGCTGAAATTTGGTATGAGTAAACTAGACTTGATGAATAAGATGCTAAAAAAAATTCATCAAAAAATTTCATCTAGAACCACCCCAAATCACGACGACCGGACAGAGTCTCCTATAGAAGGATTTAATTGACTTTTTTATGAAAGTTCGAAGACCTATTTGACAGTTTTCCCTTCTTCTAAATCTTTTACTTTGGTTGCTATTGATGTACATTGGTTATGATACTAAACGCAGAGACTATGCTAGAAGCCTAGAAGCAATTGATATGACCGATAAGTAAACTTTTGGCATCACTTATTGAACTGCAAGTTCAAAAGGCAGAACTGTTTAATTTGCCATCACTTTTTAAAATTGCTTCTTCTTACAAGTGTATTCATGTCTAGGAGTAATGCTATTCTTCTATTAAAAACCTTCGTTTCAAGAATACAAGTTGATATTTGTTGTTTCTAAGTTTAAAGAATACGACTAAATAGCAGATTCTAGTCTATCAAATAATATTGTGATGGATTAATATAGGATTCAATCTCTAGGGAATAGTAGTCTAGTAGCTAATTCCCCTCATCTGAAACATGTATTTTTATATTTGGTAGAATTCTACTTTGGTCCCATAAAAACCTCACCATTCTTTCATCTTCCTTTTTCGACTTGTTCAATTATGAAGGGGAGGGATTAGGGATAAGAGTTGAAGATGATTGTTTGTGTGACCGGAGGTGCTGGTTACCTTGCCTCGTTTCTCATCAAGACATTGTTGGAGAGGGGCTATACAGTCCATGCAACTCTCAGGAATCTAGGTGATTCCTTGCCTCACCAGAAAACTCTCATTTTCTGTCTGTATTATGTATTAGGACTTAGGAGTGGAACCACATTAAAGATTTGAGTTTCTTTTGTAAGAGTAGGTGATCCAGCAAAGGTGGGACTTCTAAAGGAGCTTCCTCATGCAGAAACGAAATTGAAGTTGTTTGAGGCAGATGTATACAAACCTGATGAATTTGCTCCTGCCATTAGAGGTTGTCAAGTGGTGATCCATATGGCTACTCCTTTGCAGCACACCCAACAAAGCACTGAGGTCTTTTTATATTTACCCTTAATTTGGCTATGTGTGATTTTGTTTTATTTGGAGATACTTCAGCTGTTCTTTTTTGCTGTTTATGATTTTTTAAGATCAAATGTAATCTGACCTATGTTTTAATATTGATAAGTTAAAGTTATAATTCTAAAATGAAAAGCCTGATGCTTATTATGTTAGTTGTATCCATGAACGTTTTCACGATAGTAGGAAGGTGGTAGATTTGGAAGGCGACTTTGAGCTAATTGACAAAAATAAAATGTTCAAACATTTCACCCCAATAAATTGGATTAGTAAAAAAGGTGTCTAGATTCTAACCCGTACTCTATGTTATTCTTGGTTAATTTACAACTGTAATGACCAGTGGAGGAGCTAGGGGGGGCAAGGGGGGGCAAGCGCCCCCGCTCCGACCAATTTTTTTTACTAGTATTACTTATCATATGTTTCTTGCCCCAACTTCTTTTTTAAAAAACAATAAGTACAACTTAAGATTATTTTAAGATTAAGTGTTAATTCTTCAATTGTTCCTAATTAGTCTATCTCCGGTGTTGGAAATGCCACTGCGTCAAATGAAAATATTGCTGAGATGAGAGGAATGAGAGGGACAAGAGAGCCCGAACAGAAAGTACACATGAATGAGATATTATTAGTGATCCATTTTTACGAAAACCAATTAATGAATATGCGCAGGGGGTTAGGGATGATGTGATGAGAGCATATGTTGTTAAAGGTGCTTGTCAACCAGCATCTCATAAGTTTCCACGAATTGAATTTGGAAAGTCATTAAGGAGCTTTCGAGGAGAGTGGTTTAAAACTTGGGAATGGTTGGAATATAGTATTTCTGAAGATGCTGCTTTCTGTTTTTGGTGTTACCTTTTTCATGGGCAAGAAGGAAAGAGATTTGGTGATGATGTGTTTGTGAGGACCGGATTCCGTAACTGGAAGAAGTCTCCTCAGTCTTGCGGAGTTGTATTCATCTGATTTTTCAGCTGTTGAGCAAATGGAGCTTAAAGAACAACTCCAAGTTTGGATATATGAGATGAGAGGGAATGAAGCATTTTCCACGGTACAAAGTATTGGTGAAGTGTCTAAGAAGATGGTTGAGCTTACAATTCACAAATCTTTTCACTTGGTCAATCGTCTTATTGAGTTGGCTCTAGTGTTACCAGTTGCAACAGCCACAGTTGAAAGAGCTTTCTCAGTGATGAATATTATCAAGACAGATCTTCGCAATAAGATGAGAGATGACTATCTTACGGATTGTTTAGTATGCTACATCGAAAGAGACATTTTTCAAGCAATTGATAATGAAGCTATTATGCAGCATTTTCAAAATATGAATCTCGTAGGATTGATTTGCCTACGTTGCAAAAGTAAATCAAGTAGCATGTAATGAACTATAATTTTTTTGCTAATTAATTACACCATTGTTGTTCTTATTATATTTTGGACACGTACTTTAAAATTTTTAGTCTTCAGTTTGCCCCTCCTTGGACAAACCTCTGGCTCCGCCACTGGTAATGACGACAGTGAAGAACTGAAGATTAATTTGCATATTAGAATTAGGATGTTTTTACTAAATTTTCTGGTCTGGTATGATCTTGTCTAGTCTGGTCTGGGAAATGTATGGTCTCTATGTATTTTATAACTATTCAAGTCTGAACTGGTCTGATCTGGGATCGAAAACAATCCAAGTAAAAACATCCTTACTTTTTAGTTTTCAATTGTTGGGAACTCTACTCCTTGGGCTACCTACATTTCACCCTTATCACACCAAAATGACATAATGGATATGTTGGTTTTGTCTTGTTTGTGATAGATGCTTACAAAATCACCTGGAGCGGTGTTAAAATGTAAAGCTACATCTATCTTACAAAGAATGTGTTTGTAATACCGTTTTCAGTGTTACAATTAAGACTCTACAAAGATGGATGTAGTAATTATTAATTATTCCGATTCCAATAATTTTTTTTAAATCCACATAGCTACTATTGTATATGTTCAACGTGGAATTCATGGATGTCATTTTGGCATGGATGAAACTTAAACTTGATCAATTTTAAGAGAAATGCTCAACATTTTGCATCAAGTTAATTAGGCTATTCATGATTTAATCGCCTATGTAGTACAAAAATATGTGGGAGGCTACTGTTGCTGGAGTTAGGAGCATTGCGGATTCGTGTATAAGATCGGGGACTGTAAAGAAACTTATTTACACAGCCACCGTGATGGCTGCATCTCCATTGAGGGACGATGCAACTGGTTTCAAGGACGCCATGGACGAGACTTGTTGGACTCCTTTTGATTTCCGAACCCTTTACCATATTGATTCATTCGTGGTACGTTGTATGTGTGTTCTTCTTCTCAATAATTGCCTTAATTGACGGGGTATGCCTTTCCTGTCTGTACTAGGATGACATTCTTTAGTACGATTTGGCTCAACTCAGGTAATGACAAGGTTGAACACTTGAACCTTAATCAATCCCAAATAGCTCTCACGAAATGGGATGACCTATTTTGGGGTTCATGTGTTTTTTGTAGGGTGAGGGAGCAAATCCCGTGAACTATAGGATGGAACAAATATATCTATCCCATTCTTTTTGGAACAATTAAACACTAAAATTGTAAATTAGAACAAATATACCACTATGTCATAGAAAATCTATACCCCTTATCTATACTTCAAGGAATGAATATACCCCCTAAACTCTTTGGACAAGAAAGTGTGTTTTTGTTTTTAGGCGTACAGTTCAAGGGTATATTCGTTATTTTTTTATATTTAGCTTGTGTAAAATACCATTCAACACACTTTTATCTCGTGTTTGATTTTATGGTTTTTTCCCATTGGGTAAAAACACACACAGCCCCGTGCTTATCATATTGACTGCATTTTTTCATAGGGATCCACATCCTTCACAACCATACTTATGGCTTGGGGCATACACCTCATATAATAAGGCACCCCCGTCTTTAACAAACTTGGTCTTAGACTTTCAGTTTTTTCATGCATTGTTTATAGGACTACGCGAGATCAAAGACATTAGCGGAGAAAGAAGTGTTGAGCTACAATGGGAAAGGCAACATACAAGTTGTTTCTCTTGTTACTGGCGCTGTTGGAGGCCGTGAAACGCTTCAATCATGGATGCCAGAAAGCTTGGGTTTGATGGTCTCACAAGCTACAAATGACAAAACAAGGTATGAAGTGCTGAGGTTTATAGAGGAGTTGGATGGTAAAGTTCCAATTGTACATTTGGAAGATGTAACTGCAGCCCACATTTTCTGCATGGAAAATCCAGAAATTAATGGCAGGTTTCTTTGTGCAAATTCCTATCTAAAGTCCGCCGAGATTGCGTCTTTCTATCAGCACCACTTCCCTGCCATCACAATCCCTCAAGAGTGAGTGCAACTGCTTTGCTGTAAAAGTTTCCTTTATTTTATTAGATGTTTGAATGAATGTTATTGTTTCAGGTTCATTGAGGATACAAGGAGGGATATAAAGTGGAATTCAAGCAAACTGGAAGATGCAGGTTTTGAGTACAAATATGACTATAAGACGATACTTTTGGATAGTCTGGAATGTGCCAAGAGATTCAGCAACCATTTTACTGAAGTATAGTGGGCTAAACTAGTTGTTTGGCCCAAGTGCCTCGGGGGTTTTTGACTGACCCTGAATTGCAGAGAAAAACTTACCAAAATTGTATTAATTTCTTCAAATAAGGAGAGAGATAATTTATTTACTCATATTTATGTGGCTAACTCACATGCCACATGTGCACCGTGCACATTGTAGCATTGGAGATGCTCTTACTCTCCTTTTTTGAACATCATGTCTAAGCCTCTCATTTAATTTCTATTTTATGAAATAATTAGCACTCTTATATGCTAGATTAATCATTGAATATTATAAAAATAATTCACCTATAATATCACAGTGTTATCATCAATGACCTCATAATGTTATATACTCATCAAAACTATTTCTAAAAAAAAAAGATATACTCAAATTATCTTATTTAATTAGGGAAAGTTCCCGAAATAGGACTAAAACAGTTTGAAAATTCCAAAAAAAGGACGGTCATGTTTTTTATTCCCAAAATAGGAGTAATTACTGCCAAGTTTGGAAAATATTGCCATGTTTGAAGTCTGGTACTGCCAAAACATGACAGTAATTAGTCCTATTTTGAGAATAAAAAACATGACAGTCCTATTTTGGATTTTCAGACCTTTTTAGTCGTATTTCGGGTAATATTCTCATTTAATTAATTTCTAAATAATCGTGTCATTTTTTATCAGGAAGCTTAAACCGGGACGGTAGTAGTACTTATATACTTCATGTTTTCTAATATAATAGAATAAATTCCACTTTTGGTCTCACGAGTTTTATATCAATTCCACATTTAGTCCACATCTTTCACTTTGTCCACTTTTGATACATGATTATTGTGTTTTCGCCCATATATGGTCCTTCCGACATTGTTTCTGATGGTTAAAATCGCCGGAAAAGGATCACAAACGGTTAAAAAAAATTAGTCAAGTACCAATGATGGACAAAGTGAAAGACATGGATTAAAGGTGGAATTGACACAAAACTCGTAGGACCAAAAGTGGAATTAATTTAATATAATATTACTAAGTGCAGGTTTGGCACAATTAGCTGCTTTTTACCTTTATAAAAGTTCCTAACTTTAACGAGTAGTAAGTACTCGTAATACTTTTGGAAAAGTACTACTAGTAACTAAAAAGTTCTTAATTGGAAAAGATTGTAATTGTTTAATAAATTTGACTTTTGATGTAGCCATGTTTCGTATAAAAAGTTGTGGCTATTTGAAATTGTATTTAATACAGAATGCAACATATACGGAGTAATTCATAGTGCCTAGAAAAGATCTTAATTTTTAAAACAGCTTCCAAAGGATGTTGTACCAAGCATCATTTAAGAACTTTTTGAAACTTTAAATAGTCAAAAAGCTTAAATGTATTGACTTGTGTCTATGAACATGACTATATTTATTGATTCTTTTTAATATATTGCAAAACCAAAACTACAACGAATTATACATTTGAAAGAAAAATAGATGGTTCCCTTGTTGTGGACAACAATCTGCCCACTTATTTGATCCCGTCAAACATATTGAATTTTATAGACAACCTATTCAGAACATTAAAAAAATCACGAGAAGTTCTCCAAGAACTCAATTGCATCAAATGTATCCCCATCAAAGAATGGGGAGTTCGTAACAGAAGATGGAGTTGGGATCATAAGATTATCTGATTCTGACTCGTCCATAATTTGTCCAAGCCCAAAGTCATCCTTATGTTGATCGAGTAAAAATGACAAGTCCATCAACTCCTCCGAGAATGTCGGAGAGGCGAAAGGTGGCGGGTAACACGGCCCAACGAGTCTGTTTTCTTTCTCCGTGATCTCGTCGTGTTCGTTCAGAGACGGAGGGAAAGAGAAATGAGGAAATATGTCACTTGCAATGTCAAGTGTTTGGTCTAGTCCAGAGTTGAGAATCAAGTCATGGTTTTCCTCTGATTCTTGGAGCTTGAACTGAGGGTTTTGTATCAATGACGGATAAGAGTCAATACAAGTGTGCATTCCTTTGTATTTGACCTCAAAAACAGAAGGGTCTTCATCAGACCTTTGAACATGCTTTGTAGCCAAACAACCTTTTGTGAAGCGATGAGTGCACCTGTAATATGCCCTGCAAAAAAAAGCCCGAAATAGTTTAAGTAGATGTTGAAGAGAGCTTATGAAAATGAAAATAGTGGAGACAAAACTCAAGTTGGAGTAAAATATAGCCCACCAGAGGATGCCATTCAATGAGACGAGGAGAGGAATAAGAACAAATCTGATGGTTAATTGAGCAACTTATGCAATTTTTAGCACAAATTCATTGAATTTTTAGCAAATTCAGACGATCAACCAATTTCATTGAATATAAACGGTTAATTAAGAAATGGGCTCTATATGTACAACATCCATTGAATATAAGTATAACAAGTTAATAAGTATATTGCATTTCTCTAATAAAAAGTCTAAATGCATGATAATGAAAACTCCAAATTAATCACTTTAATGATATGATGATAAAGTTTTTGGGATAACTTAGAAAAGTCAACAGAGTCTTGTCCAATGTAGAGGGAGTAATTAAAAAAATACAAGGAGTAATTAATAAGAAAAGAAAATGATTGATTAATGAAGTGCTAGAAACCGATGGTGGGAAATTGATGATGGAAAGATTAATAATAACCTCAGTGTGGAAAGAAAATACACAAAAGGAAACAAAAGAAATGAAACATGTGGGACAAACACTACCAATCCTAAGGAACAAGAAACGTATACACTCATTAATGAACTCAGAACCTTCTTCACTCCTACTCGGACAATATGAATCCTACTGAATTCATGGAAAAGTCAACCATGTAAAAATAAAGTTAAAACCAATCATATAGATCCGCACTAAAAATCCTTAAGGCCTTGAGAATAGAGGACATGTCCTCTACGACATAGGAGAGGGATCTCACCTAGGGTGGGTTGCCCCCAAAATGTCTTTCTGGCCGTATTTTCTCCAGCTATGACCATCATCAAGGGCGCCTCCTAAACCAGTGGCTGAGCAAACACGGACACTTTCTGTAGCCTGTGGAGAAGTTTTCCTGCAATTCCATATGATAAATGTGAAGATTGAGTTGGGAAAATGGCTGTTTGATCCTTTTTAATGTTTTTAACAACTAAAAACGTTGTTTGGTAAAATAGTTGTTCGCCCTTGTGTTTTTGAATGAAATCGCTGAAATGGAAACACTACAAATAGGAAATTTCGAGTTAGTGTGTTGAAATAGGTCATTTCCTAGTAATTGTTATAGTCAAACGGCTAAATTATCAAACGTTTTTATGATTGAATATGTTATTAACAACCTTTTAACATAATATTTTAACCGTTAGACGCTATTAACAACCCGCTAACATAATCCGTTAACCGTTAAATGTCAAACACGCCGATTGAAGAGCAACAAAGATTGATGCTTTTTAAGAACATAATTCAGATCTCAAGTTTTAAAAAAATGATTTGAGTTATAGATGAGCTAACAAGTGATATTGGATGAAGTCATGAATACCTTTTCTTGGAAAAGCCCAGTCTGCAATTCTGTTTTGAAGAATCTGCATCAGAGAGTTCACTAACAGGGGAGTTGTTACCCAGAAGAGGAGGAGAGGAAGTATCCATGGAATCAGGCAGTCCAAAGAAAAGGTTGAAACTGAGAAGTCTTATAATTGCCTTATCACAAGAAGAGATGATCTTCTTGAGCAGTAGCAGCTCACAGGTATCTGGTGATGATGATTCTTCAATCAAGCCTTGCAGCTGGACTGCACAATCTCTGCCCCGTGTTAGCTCATTGATGATCTCCTTGTTTCTCTCCAAATTCATTCCAATGGTATTTTCCATGTTGTATTTGGAAACGAAAAGAAGAAGTGCAGAAGAAAAAACAGAGGATTTTTTTATATCAACTAGCTAGTTAATCTCATATAAAATCTTATCATGAAGACAAGCAATTGAGCAGGCACTTCACACTGCACTTCCCAGAGACTAAGGAGAACACAGAAAATAGGCAGTAAAGTTCAGAAAATATATGGGGGACGGAGTCTAAACTATGGTATATATACAGGGTAGGTTCCACCGAAAACCTCTCCTAAAATAAGACATTTTTATAGTGAAAAATTTTAATAGTTACTCCCTCTGTCCCAATTTTATAAGATATCCTTACTATTCATTTGATCAACATAAATCACTCTTAATCTCCTACTTTATACATCAATTTTTTTATGAAATTTGAATTATTTTTTGCAGATTTTGTAGCGGGTTTAATGTAATTTCTAAATATGTACGATAGTATTTTTTTTCTAAAAGTAATTTGAGTGCAGACATGGATCCATTTACTTTATCGTCGCTCAAACATCGTAAACCGAACAGTATCTTATAATTTGGGACGGAAGGAGTATTACTTTAAATAGAGCTAAATGGAAATGGGGGGCGGAGTCTAAACTATGACATATATACTGAGGAGGGTTCCACCTAGAACCCCTATGAAAATGAGATGTCTTGAGAACCCCTCCAAAATGAGATTCTTCTAATGAGAATTTTTAATCGCAATCTCTTATGTATCATAATTAATGCTTAGTATTCACATGAAGCCATATTCATAATTATCATAAATTCAAATGGGGTATTTTGGAATTAATCTTAAGTAATTACTCTATAAAAATGTGACTTGTTCATATTAGTCGTGGATTGCAAAAATGAATAATAAAGATTAGAAGTTCTCATTTTAGATACACTTTCATTCTAAGAGAGTTCTCGAGAACCCTCCCACATGTGTGTGGGGGGTTTTAGTACACATAATAAGTTATTATCTCGTACAAAATGAAAACAAATTCGGAGTATCGATTTGAAATCTAAAAGCTAAAAAATGAGGTGACATTTTGTTAAATATATAAATCAAAATTTCTCTATCACAACATAATATGAATTACTTTGAACTAAAGATGTGTTACAAACGTTGGGTTTCCTTCTTAATTGAGATATTAATGAGAACTCTAGAATATCGCAGAGATGTCTAGAATTCTCTAGATGTGTGTATAGAAGTATTGAATGTTCTAGAATATTTTAGAGCTTTCTAGAAAGGCGTGGAATTATCTATAAGTGTGTGAAAGAATGTAGAATGTTTTAGAACATTGTATGATTTTCTAGAGAAGTGTGGAGTTCTCTAGAATCGTATTGAAGTGTGTGGAAGCCTCTAGAACATTCTGAAAAGATGTGGCGCTCTGTAGATTCTTCTAGAAGATTAGAGAAGATGGTGGATACTTTTAAAAGACTCTAGAAATATGGTGGTGCATAGAAAGTTCTAGAGAAGTTTGGAGGAGATTAGTATAAATTAGAGTTAGAGCCATGAGAGAGTCTTGGGGAGAGCCTTGAGTGAGAGCAAGTGATGAAAGAGAAGAGTCTGAAGGAGAGCTCTTGAGTGAATGAGAGCCTCCTTGAGAGAGGAGAGTGAGAGTGAAGTAGTCTAATATACAAAGAGTGAAGTGAGATACTCGTTTACTTGTAAAACATCTCTAGTACATTTAAATTGTATAATAAAAAAATATTATTTTCATATGAAGCCTTTCTATTACGAGTGAGCGAGTGACTATACAAGAGTTCCTTGAATTCGTGATCCTGAAAGAGGTTGGGCCTTAGGGTCATGTTTTCCCAACAACAAACAACTAAAGTGCACTGCTAGTATACCTTCGTCACGGAATAATATGTACTCCCTCCATCCCTAAATGTTGTTCCAATTGCGGATTACGAAAGTTGACCGACGATAAAGTTAAATGATCCCTGTGAAAACTCGGATTATTTTTAGTAAATAAAATTTACATATTCATAAACTACATTAAACCTGCTACAAAGTCTGTAAAAAACAATTCAACTTTTATAAAATTTTGATATAAAAGGTAAGAGTTTAAGAGTGATTTAAGTTGACCTCGATAAGCGAAATTTAATGTAGAGATGCATTACGAACCTGCATGCCAAAGGAAAATCAACACGCCCTTTTCCATGGCCTGTCCTAGGCATGGGTAAAGAGGCTTTTACCTAGTGTCCATGTTTCTACTACGAGGGCCTATAAATTTTTGATATGTATAAACTAACATATATACATATGTGTATTATGCATGATAGATTTATATTTGAATTACTCTCCCTATACCATTGTCAACCCGCTTTTTATTGTCAGGAGTTAAGTGCCAATATTTTATTACATTCAGATTTAATCTTTTCTTTTCTAAAAAAAGATTAGTTTACATTTTATGTTGTTTAACAACATAAGTCAAAATTCAATTTGAAAAAAAAAATCAGAATTCAATTTAGAACACACAAAGAAAATTTAGGACATGCAATAATCAAAACAATGTTGCACTTTTAATTGTTTACAGTCTTCAAGTCTTTGTCTTCTACAATTTTGTATCCTAAAAGTTTGCAATCAAAATGTCGCCTTTCTCAGGAGCAAAACGATGTTTTGAAGGAGAATTAAAGAACGTTTTGAAAACATCGTTATTTTCCACAATGTCTTGATAATAAGAATGGTTAAGAATATCAATATTATCTGCAATACTTAACTCTACTTTGGATATGAGGTATCAAGAGAGAACAAGTGTAATTATACTATTTGCTAATTTGTTACTCCGTATTATAAAATAAAAGAGTACTTTTTGAACTCTTATTATACATGTTGAATCTAGATATATTTAAATTGTAATATAGGGGCAAACAAATTTACATTATCTCTGGTCTATAAAATATCAAGACCAGACCTGCCCTTTTCTTGTGAAACATTATGTTTATTTGATGGGAAAATTGCCCTAAATAGCAATATAAAACGTTGAAAATTCAAAATAAAACCATCATGTTTTTATTCTCAAAATATGAGTAATTACTGTTTTTTTACAATACCAAACTAAATACATGACAGTATTTTTTAAACTTGGCAGTAATTAGTACTCCGCATTATTTAGGAAATAAAAACATAGCAATCCTAGAATTCCAAAATGTTTTACTCTTATTTCGGAAATTTTGGCTTCTTTGATAATCTATATAGATGAGTTTACGTGTACAGAAATTTTGGCCAAAATTGACTTTCATGTGGATTAATAAAGTAAAAACTTTGGGATTGAACTTTGTGCAGAAGAGAGAAAATTAACTTTAACCACATATTTCTTACTTTAAATGGAAATGACGAATCTTTTTGGGCCACCGAAAAAAGGAAATTTGGCCAATCTTTTTGGGCCACCGAAAAAAGGAAATTTGGCCAATCTTTTCAAGGAGTATATATATTCCCTCCGTCCCCTTTTAAATGTCCCGTTTTACTATATTGATATGTCTATATTTAAATGTCTCATACCTTATTTGGTAAAATTTGTGTGACCCAAAATCATTCTTACTTTATTTTTACTTTATCAATTAATATCAACCACACAGACTCACTTTTCTTAAAACCCGTGTCACCCTTTAAAAGGGGACGTAGGGAGTATAAGGGGGTGTTTGGATCTGATTCTCAAAACTGATTCTGCTCCTTCAGGGAGCAGAAGCAGAAGCTGGAGTGTTTGGGTGAAATTCCAGAAGCACTTCTGGAGCTCTAATTTACTCTCAGAATCAGTTTTTTTAGAAGCTGGGGGGTACCAGCTTCTGAAAACTGATTCTGATTCTGCTTCTGCTTTTAAAAAAGAAGCAGAAGCAGAATCAGTTCCAAACACCCCTAAGTATTCGGCACGTTTTCATTTAAATTAATTCGAATTTATTGGTAGATTTGTGTGTCGTTATGACGGAAGCGGGAGAGAAAGTACGAGGAAAGGGAGATGGGAAACGGTGAAGTACTGAAGTGTGCGTGTGGAAATATAACGGATTAGTAGAACTACGCTGATAAGAATGGTCGGTGTGACGTAGGATGCATCTAACTTTCTTTCTCTCCCTTGTACGATTGTACCCCATATATGTACAATTTTTTTTATACACGCCTTATATGTACAAATACTAGTATTTGTACCCGTGCCGTGCACGAGATAAAATCAGTTTGCTTTTCAGTGGATATATTATACTGAAGGTATAGATTTTCTATGTCAATGGTAATTGATTGTTGGTATAAAATACCGTTAAGTGACAATTTGTCTGTGTGCCCTATTTTTTTTACTAATTATCTTAACATGCTTCCAGTCTATATTCTCTAATGAAAAGATCCATTTATTTGTAACTCTCGGTTGCATCCAAATGGAAATTAATCTTTTCAATTATTTGTACCTGAACAAAAAAATGCTCAATGTCTATTTTTATCTATCAAATTTCATCCCTGACTTGGTGTTTTTTCCAAAACTAATAACACATTTTTGTAATATATTGATCCTTAAATGGACGTAGTCAATTTTTAAAAAAAATATTAGCCCTTCTAGACTTTAGAATTTTGCTAATTGGTACTTCGATCTCTTTCTTCAAGAAAAGAGTTTAGAATGTATAGTTTTAATACATTCTGATTATAATGAAGATGATGGCGGTGACAATAGGCTGCCTATTGTGATTGGTAGCAATCAATTTATTTTTCATTGGGTTGAGTTATTGAGGGTAATATGATCTTATTAAGTAAAATAAGTGTTATTGTACAAACAACAGTTGCATGTTTTAGATTTTCAATAGACAATTTTACCTAGAAGGTCACATGAATAAAACTTATAAAAAGATTCTCATCATATCAAGAGGTAGCTATCATAGAAACATAAACATGTCAAGCTATGCAATGAAAAATAAAACAGATGTCCCATATTTATAAATGAAAAATGATCTCAATCTTCATGACCAAATATAACTAAAAGAATTACTACGTACTGTTTATACTCAGTCTAGATGTCTAGGACATAACTGTTATAACTTACTGAGTATTTTAATTACAACCCGTATTTTTCATAAATTATTATTATATTTTGTACGACACCGATCTTGCATATAAAAAAAAATCTAATTATGCTAGCTCTACTTTCTCCTAGCTTGCTAGTGTCCTTTATGTTTTCCGATTTTTCAAAACTTGGATAT